GATCAGCTCGGCAAGGAACTCCAAAGAAGGTGAGCAAGGTCCGCTCCGCGACTTATCTCTTGCCGAGCAAGATCCGCTCGGCAAGGAACTCCAAAGAAAGCGAGCAAGGTCCGCTCCGCAACTTTCTTCTTGGCGAGCAAGATCAGCTCGGCAAGGAACTCCAAGGTCGGCGAGCAAGGTCCGTTCGGCGACTTGCTTCTTGGCGAGCAAGATTAGCTCGGCAAAGAACTCCAAAGAAGGTGAGCAAAGTCCGCTCCGCGATTTGTCGCTTAGCGAGCAAGATCCGCTCGGCAAGGAATTCCAAAGAAAGCGAGCAAGGTCCGCTCCGCAACTTTCTTCTTGGCGAGCAAGATCAGTTCGGCAAGGAACTCCAAGGTCTGCGAGCAAGGTCTGCTCAGCGACTTGCTTCTTAGCGAGCAAGATCAGCTCGGCAAGGAACTCCAAGGTAGGCGAGCAAGGTCCACTCCACGACTTGTCTCTTGGCAAGCAAGATCAGCTCGGCAAGGAACTCCAAAGAAAGCGAGCAAGGTCTGCTCCGCAACTTTCTTCTTGGCGAGCAAGATCAGCTCGGCAAGGAACTCCGAGGTCGGTGAGCAAGGTCCGCTCGGCGACTTGCTTCTTGGCGAGCAAGATCAGCTCGGCAAGGAACTCCAAAGAAGGCGAGCAAGGTCTGTTCCGCGACTTGTCTCTTGCCGAGCAAGATCAGCTCGACAAGGAACTCCAAAGAAAGCGAGCAAGGTCCGCTCCACAACTTTTTCTTGGCGAGCAAGATTAGCTCGGTAAGGAACTCCAAGGTCGGCGAGTAAGGTCAGCTCGGTGACTTTCTTCTTGGTGAGCAAGGTTAGTTCGGCAAGGAACTCCAAGGTCAGTGAGCAAGGTCAGCTCGTCGACTTTCTTCTTAGGGAGCAAGATCAGCTCGGCAAGGAATTATAAAGTTGATTAAAACCAGCAACAAACTTCTTGCCGAGTAAAATTCATTCGACAAGGAATTCCAGAGTTGATAAAATCATCAACAAACCTCTTACCGAGCAAAATCCGACCGGTAAGGAATTCCAAAGTTGATCAAAACCATCAACAAACCTCTTGCCGAGCAAAATTTGACCGGCAAAGAATTCCAAAGTTGATCAAAACCATCAACAAATCTCTTGCCGAGCAAAATCTGCCTTGTAAGGAATTTTGATCTATCCGTCATAATGATTGTTAGTTTCCCCTTGGCTCGCACTAAATCAGCTTGGCGAGGCAAGAATACAACAATTCTCAAGAAAATGGTCTACTTGTTTCATTGTGCCAATGGTAAAAAGGGTTACAAAAATAGAACTAAGAACAAAACTTTAGATTGGCAAAGTTCGATGTTCTGAAAATGGATCGGCCATTCACATTCCGCGAGTTTTATGCCCCTTTTCCTCGGCCTTCTTATAAACGTCTTCCAAAAACCGAACTACCCATATCTCTTCCAGGGTGGTTTGCATGGCCATCATCTTGTTCGACTGCGTGAACCTTTTGCACTACTCTCTTATTCTCTACTACCGGACTTGCCGTCACGGTAGTTGTGGCTGCATCGTCTTCAACTTGGATGTGCTCATTGATCCGTTGCATTAGTTGGCCCATGGACGTCAGCTGGTTCATTGTAAGCGAGTCCCGCAGCCTATGTCCGACCGGGAGACCGCGATTATATTGGGTGATTGCCAGGTTGATCGGGCAATCTAAAATCTCGTTGAAGGTTTCCCAGTATCCGGAGTTGTATGCCTTGAGTGTGTCACTCAACTCCATTTTGACACTGAGAAGGTGGTCCACCTCCTTTGGCGTTTTGGTGTTGGTCTTAAAACGAGTCACAAATGCTTCCACCAACTGCTGCCACCTTTCGATGCTTCCCTTCGGCAACCTCTCAAACCATTTCAAGCCCAACTCACCCAAGCTCGACGGGAAGGTAAGGCATATAAAAGCGCCATTCCGCCTATGTCCGGCCATGACCTGTCGGAAGTGACTTACATACATGTATGGATCGGTCTTTCTATCGTAGAGCGTAAATTTGGATTGGTGAAAGCCCGCTGGGAGCGGTGCGATCCCTCTCTCCAGGGAGAAGGGAATGGTGCTCAGCCTCGCCAAATCTGTATCTAGAATGAGGGTCTCAGCTGGGCGCGGTGGTGGCATTAAGACTTCATCACTAGCGTGACCCCCATAAGATAGCCGCTGGAATGTCGGTACCCTCTGAGCCTCCCACCGGTGAGCCCGTTCCTTCAAGACTTCCCGCAAATCCTCTGAATGAGCGGAATAAGAATACCTCGACGTCGTCGCCGGACGTGAGGGTTGATAGGTACTGTCTTGCGCGCTAGACTTTTCTACGTGTGCGTCGGAATCTCCAACCTTGTAACTTCTGGTGATTGAGATGGACGAAGTACGCCGCTGGCTCTGACTGCCTGAACGGCGGGGTTGGGTGCGCTCACTGTGGTCTCGTACTCCAGCTACACCCTTCCTTTTGACATGCCGCTTAAGATCCTCCATCTCCGTCGTCATTCGCCGGATAACGGCGTCTTGGTCCCTTAGCTTGTGTTCCAGTCGTCTGGCGTGCGATTCTCTCCGCCACCAATGACCGTCTGGACTCCGTGAATGACCAAAGCTTCTTCCGCACTTATCCTGCGCGTCTCTTGAATGTCCTCTTGGAGAAGTCTCCAAGTCCGCCATAGGAGGGATGGCGGGATGTCCTTCTCTCCGTCTGCTTGACTCCGGGGTAACTCCGTCGATGGCAGGCAACGGAATCTCGTCGTTGTTCGCCATGGACGGCGATCAGATAAGCCTGGAAGACAAGGTTTTGTCTGTCAAGTTCCCACAGACGGCGCCAATTGTACGGGGAGCAAATATTCAGGCAAGCCCGTACTCCTTTCTTCCAAGCTCCTGTCTGTCCGATCGACCTGCGAGCATAATGGCGGTAAGCTACCCGGCGGTGTGTGGCCGGAAAATCCCTCCGACGATCAAGTTAGCACACACGCACAGGGATAGATAGAGAGGACAGAGTTGAGTGTAAGTGTATATCTCACCAAATGTTCATCTGTCTAGGCATGGGGGGCACAAACTCGCTTATATATCTTCTGTGCCCCAAATCTACTCCCATTAGTCTCTCGACACGTGGTGCTGCTATCCCATCTGTCAGCACAAATCTAGCTGATCATTACCTAACCAAACTGCCAGCCCACACTACCGGGATCTCGGCAACCGGGCTGCATCATCTTGGCTGCCAACAGTCGTGTTGCACAACAAGCTAGAGTGCTCCGCTCGCCGAGCTCAATGACGACCGAGCTCGGTTGCATTCCGGCATAGCCGAGCTGAAACTGGTCGTGCTGATAAGCCGAAGACCTTTCCAGCCGGGCTGGAAGTGCGAACATAAGACCTGGATCGGCGGACAATCATCTCAGCCTCCTTCGACCGAGCTACTTATCAAGCTCAATAGTGCCACTCGCTGAGCTCCATCACAACCGAGCACAGCAGCACTCCGGTGCGACTGTGCTCCAGACAAGTTAGCCCGGTCTGCGGCAGATCACGATCATCGAGCTAAAAAAAACGAACAAGAGATGACAAGCTGGCAGAGGATCTTCTCGGCCAACTCTAGTCTGGACTTCGGCCGAGCAAGCTTCACCTCGGGTCGGCCCAAATACGCTTAGACCACATTCAGCATGGCCAGAACCGCGGCTCAAGCCAAGATTACGAAAATCCACCTCTCACTAACTTTTTTCCTTTGTTTTTTCTTTTTAAGCCTTTGTTACAAGGCAATTTTAAAGGCTAATATGCTAAGTTAAAGAGTGAACTTGTACAATTTTGTCAAAAAAAAAAAACTTTTACAATTTTGGCTTTGTCACAACTTACAAGGCAATTTTAAAGGCTAATATGCTAAGTTAAAGAGTGCACTGGTACAATTTTGGCAGATAATAATAAAAAAAAAAAATTTTACAAATTTGGCCATCACATAATGAGTCTTCTGATAACCTGGAAATGCATTTAAAACTCAAGTGCACTATTTGGCATAAAGTGCATTTTTTTTTTTTATCTTTTTATTTTCTTTGAATTATATCTTTATATATATATATATATATTTTTTTTTTTTTTTTTTTATAAAAATTAAAAAAAATTAAATCATTTAAAAAAAATGTTTGGAAATTGTATAATCTTAAATAAAAAAAAAAATTACTTTGACTTATTAATTTTACATCATTTTGATTGATTTTTAAAATTTGTTAGATTATGTTCTGCCGCTCATGTATAACTTGCTACTAGTAAATAAATTTAAGACATTTAAAATTATCTATGAACACGGATACAACATCAAATAAAAAAAATAAAAAATTAGTAGTTTTTTTTGTAAAAAATATTAAAAATTACACAAAATAGATTTATAATTTTTTTAAATTTTAGGCTAATAATTTAAAAAATTATAATCATAAAAGTTAATTTATAAGTGATACCAAGTGGACTCATGGGTACAACTTATATAAATTATTCATAATTTTATTTATTTTTTATTTTGAAAGTCTATGTTAGACTTTTTATTGCAACTTTCACTTCATCGAAGACATAAATAACTTAAATAACTTTCAAAAACTAAAATTATCTAGAAATTAGAAAATGACTACTTTTAACATATGCTTATCAATTTTTAGTTTACTATAAACTGAACCAAATAATACCAATAAAGACAATTCTTGCACATAATTCAACCACAAAACTAGACCGAGAATTGCCTGGTGGAGCTTATATATTATTGTATTTAGAATAAAAGAAATGGGTGTTTTTAAAATTTTACTTTTCGATTATCAATTTTTAACTTTAAAAAAAAAATTACACTAAACAAATTAATCCACAATCTTCTTGTGTTCAATTTTGTGCACTTAAAAATTTTTCTAACAAGGAGGATGTGGATACCTTGGACACCAATAATGAAAAGCAAAGATGTGTGAGGGGCAAGAGTGCCCCCAAAAAGCCAAGGCTTCAACATAACGTTGGGGAAGATAGTTTTTAATAGGAATCAAGCAAAGAAGTTGATTCATCCAATTCTTTGATTCCATTTCTAGCCCTATATATAAAGAAGACAATCCAAGATTTCAACAATATCACAAACAAAGCAAGCCCTCCTCTTCTTTGTCTTTGTTGTTTTTGAATCTATAGAGCTTTTTGTAAAGATGAGCAACAGGTTGTTGTTGGGACCAGGTTCTATAGGCTCCGATTCGATGCAGCAACTAATAAAAACTGACAGAGGCAGCTTCATGGCATCCGATGACACTGTCATGTTGAAGCAAATCCAGACAACTCATAATCCCGATGGCCGCGAAATTGACATTAAATCTATTCTTCTTATCGTCGAGGACATCCTCAGCCGTGCCACCATGACCGTCGAAACCAGCATTGTCCCGGTAATAATAATCCGTTCATCATATCACATTATTTCATTATATTTGTCTTCAGTAATATGGATGCTCTCTATTTGTAAACTCTATTTACCATTAATTTTTTTTAAAGAAAAGTATTAGTATGAAATAATATAGGTACAATTATTAAAGGAAAATTTACTCATAAATTCTATATAGTGGAATATTGATCCATTTAGCCCTAAAAATTTGCTTATGATCCAATTAGTCATTTTTTATTTTGAAAAGTTGTATTTGGTGTCATTTGAGTTTAAGTGAGCCTTTTTGTGATTCATTTTTTCAATTTTCTGATTTTTTTTTTTGGGTGGAAATGAAAATGTGAGATATGAATCATTTTTTGAGGGATTGGTGGCTGAAGTGTTAATTGTTGAGCGTAAAAATTTAAATTTTTGTTAGTGTTGTTTTCTAGTGTTAGATTAGAGTAATACATTAGAGTACTATGTTTAGAAAAATACACTAAGGAGTTTTTATGTGTTATATTGATTGGAGTGTTATGTTTGAAAAAAACACACTAAATAGTTTTTTTGAAATATTATGTTGTTACTTTTGAGAAAAATACATTAAAGAATTTTTTAATGTGTTACATTGAGTGTTATGTTTTTAAAATGTTACATTGGGGTGTTAATATTGGAAAAAATACACTATGAAATTTTTTTAAAATATTACGTTTAGTAATTTTAACATTATGAGAAAACTCACACTTGTCACTCAATACATAACACGCGTGTTTTACTTGACTCTTTATGTGATTCATACTAGAATGAGACTTTTAAATCTTTAAGAAAAAAATGAAAAACCAAACAATTTATAAGATTATTATTTAGAATTTATTGGTGCTTTATTATTAAATTGATTTGATTTGATTTTTTTTTTTTTTTTTTTTTGATGAACAATCAAGAGCTTACAAAGTAAATAAATTAGATAGCAAGTCAGTAATGGGCTTCACGGACTCAAGTGGATAGTCAAGTCTGGTTCACCTTGGATTGGAGACAATTTGTTTCCTATTTTAAGGAGGAGAACTTTATATGTCATCCAAAACAAGACTTGATAAATGATTTTGAAAACGTCACGTTTATCTGTTAAGCCCAATTGACTTTTGTGCCCCGCAAGTGTCAACCATAAACTTTTGTGCCCTTAGCTTTATTTCTAACTCATATTATTGTTATTATTATTACATGTGATTTATGCAAAAAGATGCACCAATAATGAACATCATTCAATTGTTATAAAATAGTCATTTCAATTTATCATTACTTAGAAAATAAATTAATGAATTAGATTCATCGCATGAATCATTCACATCTCACTAACTTTAAATTTATACTATACATCTCATTTTTAAACTAAATTTCGGAATAATTTTTCATAATTATTAGCATTTGGTATCTTGATTCTCTTGTTGCTAATTTGCTTGTGGTTTGACTATAGGGCGTCCATGCACAAATTGAAAACATGGAAAACAAAGCCCACCAAGCTAGTGTCACTCTCATGCTTGAGGCGCTCTCATATATAATTGACCGAATTGCTTGTGAGGTAATTACAAACCAAATACATATATAAAAAATTCTCATTTTTCTTTGAAATATCCAAAATTCCAAAAAATAAAAATAAAAATCATGTCCTATATAATTACACAACAATGAGATTTTATCTCTTTTTTGCCGACAGTTAGACCACTAAATGATTTTTTTTTTTTTTTTCCCTCCTAAAGACTATTTATCCAATTTACATTAACATTTTTCAATCAAAACTTTGTGTTTTCAGATGACATACAAGTCTTTGGCTGGTGTGGATGGACATCAAATAACAGTCTCTCTCTTTACTATGCTATCAAGCTATTCATGGGATGCAAAATTAGTGTTAGCCCTAGCAGCCTTTGCATTGAACTATGGAGAGTTCTGGCTTCTAGCTCAGATTTACACATCAAACCAACTCGCAAAATCAATGGCGATCCTTAAGCAGTTGCCGTTCATCATGGAGCACTCGGGCCCACTGAAACCCCGGTTTGATTCCCTAAACAGTCTCATCAAGGCCGTGTTGGACTTGACTCGGTGCATTGTCTCGTTTAGAGAGCTACCATCGACGTATATTACTCAGGACATGCCAGCTTTGTCCACGGCCATGGCCACTGTCCCAACTGCTGTGTATTGGGCCATTAGAGGAATCATAGCTTGCGCAACTCAAATCACTAGCCTCACTACCATGGGCCATGAGTATGTTTTTCACAACAATTATAATGATTGTTTTTAAGTTTTCTAATATCTTATTCAATTATATATCAAATATTTGTGTTTGACTAGAAATTAACGCAATCAATTGATACACTATCAAATGACCTTGCTTCTTCACACCACATATGATTTTTTAGGTATGTAGCAGCCACCATGGAGGCATGGGAACTATCCACCTTGGCTCACAAGATCAATAACATACATGAACATCTCAAGAAGCAACTCGATATTTGCTATCAACTCATAGGTAGACACACTAACCTGTAAAAATGTACGGATGTTGGCTTTGGTTGCAGCTTATAAGTTTGCTTGTTTTTTTTATTTGTTTTTCTTTTTTAGTGACCTTTTTTCAATTTTGAATTAATTTTTTTTTTTTTAGATCCTCTAGACAACTATCCTAACTTTTTTGAAAAAAAGTCTAACTAATCATGTTGTTGATGCAGAGGATAGGAGGAGCATTGAAGCTTATGAGGCACTACTGCGTGTCTTTGATATGATCCACATAGATAACATGAAAGTTCTCAGGATGCTGATTTATGCCAAGGATGATCTGCAACCACTCTTTGATGGTTCTTCTAAGAGAAGGGTTTGAACATGGACTCAATACTAGCACTAACTACTTTAGGACATTATAAAAAGAAAAATAGGTGGTAGCTCGAAATGGGTGAGGGTCGAATGGCGCCCGAAATTTGAAAACCACGTCGTTTTGCGATTTTCTTCTTCTTCTTCGTTGAACTTCGTTGAGCACAGGAGAACAGAAGGGAAGAGGAGGAGAGAGGGAGAAAGAGAGAGGAGAGGAGAGAAGAGTTCGTCGCCTCCGCCCGCCGTCCTCGTCGCAGCTCGTCGCCTCCGCCCGATCGTGCCTCCGCCCCCCGCCTCCGCCTCCAGCCCTAATAATTGGGCCCCCTCCAGTCCTTCTCCTCCTCCTCCTTCCTCCTCCTCCTCCTTTCTTTCTCCTCCTCCTCTGATTTTCTACTTCTGAAGAAAAAAAAAAAAAAAAAAAAAAAAAAAAAAAAAAAAAGGGGATGAACGGAGCTGTGTGTGTGTGTGTGAGAGTTTTCCAGAGAGAGGGGATGAACAAAGGGAGGGTGGGTGTACAAAGAAAAGGGGTGGGTGTACAAAGCAATTCGGGTCTTTCAACCCAAGCCATTTCGAGCTACGAAATGAGGTTGTTATAAAAATTACAATTTCAAAAAAAAATCAATGTAATTTTGTTTTGCGCCAAAAAAATTTCATCCTTAGTTCATGGGGCAAAATTTCATCATAATAAGTAAAAGGCAATGGCATGTTATAGCATGCACTTTTTGCGACAAACTAGCAAGTCGTCATAAATTCTATAGTACTCGACATGCGTTTATATTTGTTGCTAAAAAGTAAAGGTTCTAAAAGAAAAACGGCACAACAAATGACTCATGCATTTAGCGTCAATTTTAAAAGTTAATTTAAATTTATGTTGCCATGATTATTATAGTCATCAAAATCCATAGAAGAAAATTTGGTCGAAAATATCACAACGACTATTTTATAGCAATGAAAGCAAATACACTTTTCTATTTGATTTGAGGCAATTGAAAGATTCTTATCAATAAAAGCACTTTGCGATGAATTTTGGTTCATCACAAAAAAATTAGTCACTAAAAATAGTATTTCTTGTAGTAACAGGAATCCACTAAAAAATTTTAACAGTTGTAGCCGTTGCTTGTTCATACTAACTTCTTTACCTCTATGGGCAAAAAAAAAAACAAAAAAAACAGGTTAATCTCGACGTTTTGAGGAGGAAGAATGTATTATTGCTCATATCAAGCCTAAACATCTTACCGGATGAGCTTTCAATTCTTGAACAAATTTATAGTGAGTCGCGACATCATGCGACGAGAATGGATAATCTATATGAGATGGTATGGGTCCCAATCGTGGATCGCACGGTGCAATGGACAGACCCTATGCAAAAGCAGTTTGAGGATTTGCAATCTACTATGCCATGGTATACGGTGCACCACCCTTCCTTGATTGATCGGGCAGTCATCAGGTTCGTCAAGGAGAAGTGGCACTTAAGGAATAAACCCATCCTAGTGGTCCTGGACCCTCAAGGGAAGGTTGTGAGCCCCAATGCCATCCACATGATGTGGATTTGGGGAAGTAATGCATTTCCTTTCACAATCACGAGAGAGGAAGCTCTTTGGAGAGAAGAAACTTGGAGGCTTGAGTTGTTGGTGAATGGTACTGACCAAACAATATTGAATTGGGTAAGTAACATATTCTTTTTTTTGAGTATTGCTATTCAGGCCCAAAAATTAGACTTACTTTCTAAACTTTTTAATATGTTACTTAATTAAAATATCTAAATCAAATCTCTCTTTTATTTATTCTCTAATCATCAATTAATTATCTTATTGATACATTACTAAATCTAGAAAGTGGGTTTAGAAAATTGGCTTATATATCATTTCCGTTCTTTTTTTCATCTCTAGATTAACATTGTCACTTTAATCTATATGTATACACAAAATTATTCATATTTGTATCATAATCAATTAGCAATTTAAGGTATATATATCTAAAATCAAGCCTCTAAAAATTGAATTAAGCATGTATGCTTTCATGTTTAGAATTCGAAAAATGATGACCCACATATAAAAAATTAGAATTAAAGTTAAGTGAGTTGTGCAATGTGTTTCCAGATTAAAGAAGGAAAGTATATTTTCTTGTATGGAGGGGATGACATGGAGTGGATCCGAAGATTCACCAAGACAGCACGCTCTGTTGCACAAGCTGCGAACATCCCTCTAGAGATGGCTTATGTTGGAAAGAGTAGCAAGAAGGAACAAATCCGAAGAATCATCAACACCATCAATCAGGATAAACTGAGTTATTCTTGGTCAGACCTCATGATATGGTTCTTTTGGACTAGGCTAGAAAGTATGTTGTTTTCCAAGATTCAACTAGGAAGGGCCGATGATCAAGACCCCACAATGCAAGAGATCAAGAAACTACTTAGCTACGACAAGAGTGGAGGGTGGGCAGTGCTAAGTAAGGGAGCGGACGTGGTGGTGAATGGGCATGGGACAACCATGTTGCCTACCTTGGTAGAATATGATACGTGGAAGGGGCATGTGATCACAAAAGGCTTCGAAAAATCGTTTAAGGATCACCATGACATGCTTCATGGTGTTGCTCATCCCTGTTGTCGCTTCGAGTTTCCAAGTATGGGGGGAAGGATTCCAGAGAGCATGAAATGTCCGGAGTGCCAGCGAACCATGGAGAAGTACACCACCTTCCTTTGTTGCCATGATGACAACACTACAACCTCGTTCTACTAAAGCCCCAACCTCTCGTTACTTGCTAATTAATACTATCAATTCTGCTAAAAATACCAAAATTAATATATGAATAAAACTGGGTATGAAATGTAGCGTCAAGGTCACTCTTGTGGGCTTTGATAAAGTTGGTGGTCTAATTCTTGCTAAATAAGAGCCACTTTGATGTAAAAATGGCACCATATTAATAATAATATTGAGTATTATTATTTGGCTCATGTGTTCTTTTAAATTGTTCTGTCTTCTTCCTATAGTGAGAGTTACTCACATCAAAGTATGGACCAATATTCGGATAAGGTATCCTTTAGTGAATTTTTTTAAGCTCTTAGATCTTGATTACTTGGTGTGAAGTGCCTTCATGTTTGTTCTAAACTCTTGAACAAGATATGATGATATGCATATGATGATTTTTATTTATTTTTAAGTTAGAGTATTAATTAGTCCGGTCCAGAGGAGCCGTGCAGATAGCCCGGTCCGAAGGAGCTTGGTGGTTAGCTCGGTCACCATGGTCGGTGCGGTAACAGTTAGCTCGGTCAAACCATATTGAGCCGAAGTATGTTGAGCTTTCCTCAGAACCTTGATATTGGTTAGCTCGGTCTAAGCTCGATGTGATTAGTGCAGTCTCAGACAACCCGGTTGGAATGTCAAATCGAGGTACACGCAGTGAAAGGAAGAATCGAGCTAATGGGAGCTCGGTCTAGTCTGCGGCTTTAGCATGGCCATGTTATCTCGGTCGTATTGACATCCAACCGTGGTAGAACCATCTCACTTAGTTTAAGCAGTGAGGGGGGTGTTGAAGGATAAGCATAATCTTTCAAGAAGGTGATTCCTAGGAGGACTCTACATGGAGGAGTAAGAGTCCTACTTGGATTGTGCCACGCGGAACCTATAAAAGCTCATAACATCACCTAAGGAGAGATAACACAACTTTGATTCTCGAATACACAAAACTTTTGTCTAGTTGCTATTTTGCTGACTTGGGCATCGGAGAGGTATCCGGCACACACCCGCCGGTCAACTCACGTTTGTGTTTTCAGGGAGTAAAGCGACGACGTTTGGAAGAGTGTGGACTTGATTAATAGGATTATACGAGAAGATTATTTCTTCCTCGTACAATTGGCGCCATTTGTGGGAATCACAGAAAGAACAAAACCTCTTGATCAAAGTTTTCCTCGCTAGATTAGACGCAATGGCGCACAATGAAGATTTGCCGCAGTCCGCCATTGACAGGCAAACCCCAGAGGGAGGTGGGAGGTACAAAGGTTTGCCTTCCATCCCTCCCATGGCAGACCTGGAGCCCCAGCGACAGAATCCCCATAGGGATGCAAGGGAAAGGCGGGGTAACAGCCCCTGTCACTCATCAAGTCCTGATAGACAGAGGCGGAGGATCGACCCTCAAGTTTTGGAGGATCGGGTAAAGGTGCAGGACGAGTTAATCAGGACGATAGCGGCAGACATGTAATTGATGAAGCGCCGGATAAAAGGAAAAGAGGTGGCGACAGGAGAGAGGGGCACAAGCGATACGCCCCCTCGCCACTCTGAAGATCATGGCAGGCATACCACGCCATCGCAAGCAGAGAGTAAGAGCCTCAGAATGGGCGATACTCAATTAAGGACTTCCAGAACTCGTTACTCCAGGTCTGAGAGAACGAGATCATTAAGGTCTTACACTGAGGGAAGCACCTATCGGCCTTCACATACGCACCGGACATCATCCAGGCAAACGGAGTTGCCAGATCGTCCGACTTACGGATTGTGCTTGAAGAGAGGGCATGACGGAAGGAGGATGCCAGGGCACGCGACCCGCACAGAGTTTCAGCCCTTCAGCGGTTGGCTCCTCGGACGCATGGAAGCGTCGAGGTAGGAATGCCAATACCGCACCTTGCCTACGAACCAACAGATAAAGCACTGGCAAGGTTACATAACTCACCGTTCGTTCCGACGATTGAGAACGCACCACTACCTTCAGGCTTCATCCAACCTAAATTTACAACTTACGAGGGGAAGACAGACCCCTACATACACCTAAGCCACTTTCGCCAAGTCATGGCAGTATACAGGCGGAACGAGGCTTTGATGTGCATCCTATTCCCTTCCAGCCTTGGCGACCTAGGTTTAACCTGGTTCGAAAGGCTATCAGAAGGCTGCGCAATCAGCGGAGGCGTTCGTAACAAGGTTCGGAACGAACACCAAGACGCCAGTAGAGATCAATTAGCTACTCTCCATTGACATGGACAACAAGGAGACGTTGAGATCCTGCAACAGTCGTTATTGGGAGACCTTCAACCAAATAGGAGATTGCCCCACAAATCTCGCCATCGCGCAATACAAAAGGGGTCTTCCAGTCAGAAACAGGCTGAGAGACTCAATTACCATGACACCCCCCCTCACAATGGAAGCCTTAATGGAGAGGGTACACCAGCACATTTGGGTAGAAGAGGACGGCGCCCGAGCGAAGACAAAATCTGGTGCAACAACGGTGTCAGATAAGAAGACTACAACAAAAGTCAACACGGTAAAACGTCCAAGCAAGAACGGACGAGACAGACGAGACAACGGAGAGGACCAAGATAAAAAATGGTTGAGAGTCCGCACTGCCATTACCACGGTATTCAAGAAACCAATCTACCGAATCCTCAGTGAGATACGTGATGAACCTTTCGTCAGATGGCCAGCTAAGCTGGGAGAAGCGCAAAAGGACTACGACGAAAGATCTCGGTGCACCTTCTATAAGGAAAAGGGGCACCGCACTGAAAATTGCACGCCATTGAGACAACATCTGGAGGAGTTAGTGGCAGCTGGGCATCTGGAGTACATTGAGAGAGAGACACAGCTAATCCCCCAAAACCACGATCACCCAGACGGAACGCTGATCGACACCCCACCTCAAGGCGTGATAAACATAATACATGGGGTATTCGAACCTGAGCGAGTATATGAGCTCAGGGGAATGATAAAGAAGGCTGAGCACTTAAGGGAGGTATTAAATGCGCAGCCCACCATTAAAAAGGGAAAAACGGAAGTCACGAACGTCATGTCTTTTTCAGATAGAGACTTGGCAAGGATATATTGCCCTTACAACGATGCACTGATCGTCACTTTCCGCATCAAGGATTACGACGTCAAACGAATTTTGATTGACCAAGGGAGCTCATGTGAGATAATGTACTATAAAACTTTCAAACAGTTGAAACTGGAGGACAAAGACTTGGCACCTGCCGTATCTCCCCTGATCGGATTCAATTCAATGCCAGAGTGGCCAGTTGGCAAGATTATCCTCCCAGTCAGAGCAGGAAGCATGACGAAACAAGTGGAATTTTGGGTATTAAAAGTCCCTTCCACTTATAACATAATCTTGGGGAGGACATGGCTACACGTCATGCGATCGGTAGCGTCAACCTACCATTAAGTAATGTGGTTCCCCAACGAAGCCGGAGTAATTGAAGAGGTCTATGGAGACCAAATTATGTCCAAGCAATGCTTCGTCACAGTAAATGGTAGCCGAGCTGCCAAAGGGTTTGTTCAGATTGTGGAAGAACCTGAGAACAATGAATTGTTTGCGGATGTTGGCAAAGCCGCTGAACAGAAGGCAATGGAAGACTTGGTACAGGTAAGAATAGATGAAAAGGACCCGGAAAAGTTCTTTTTTCTTGGCTCATCTATGTCCAGCACTGAAAGAATAGAGGTCATGGAATTCTTGACCTCTAACATCGAAGTGTTTGCCTGGACGCCGTATGATATGCCAGACATTGACCCAAACTTCATCTGTCACCAATTCAATATCCACCCATCCGCCAGACCAATCATTCAGCGCACTCGCAGATCGGCACTCCACCACGCCGAATAGGTGCGGAAAGAATGGGAAACCTTCTAGAGTAGGAGCTATCAGAGGGTGCACTATCCCAAGTGGATATCCAACACAGTGTAGTTGCCAAAAAAGAATGGAAAATAGCTGTTTGTGTGGACTACAAAATAGTCAACAACAGTGCATGCCCAAAGGACAGCTTTCCTTACACGGATAGACCAACTGGTAGATCTGACAGCAGGACACAACCATCTTAGCTTTCTTGATGCATAATGAGGTTACCATCAGATCACTATGTATGAGCCAGACCAGGAAGTCACATCCTTTACGACGTCAAGAGGATTGTATTGTTACAAGGCCATGCCCTTTGGCCTTAAGAATGCAGGGGCAACATTCCAGCGGATGATCACCAAGATGTTTGAGCCATTGTTAGGCAGAACAATGGAGACTTACATCAACGAAATGGTGGTCAAGAGCAAGGATGGGAATAACCATCTCAGGGACCTAGGTGAGATGTTTCAGATCCTCAAGAAGCATAAGTTGCGCCTTAATGCATCTAAGTGTGCGTTCGGCGTAGGATCGGGCAAATTCCTAGGCTTCTTGGTAACCAACCGAGGTATAGAAGTAGACCCCTCTCAAATCAAAGCAATTCAGGAACTAGAGAGGCCCAACTCAGTAAAACAAGTACAGTATCTCACCGGCATGGTAGCCGCGCTAAACCGGTTCATAAGTCGGTCGTCAGACAGATGTCAACTATTTTTTCAAGTATTAAAGGCCAAGTTTGAGTGGGATGAAGAATGCGACCGCGCCCTAGAAAGTTTGAAAGAATACATGTCTTCTCCACCGCTGCTAGTGACCCCAATACCTAGAGAAGAACTATTTTTGTATCTGACAGTCTCATAACACGCAATTAGCGCAGTGTTGGTCCGAGTAGAAGGAATCCAGCATCTGCCCATCTTTTACGTCAGCAAGACATTACTGGGCGCAGAAACCAGGTACTTACCATTGGAAAAACTAGCCTTAGCCTTGATGATGGCCTCAAGGAAGTTGTCGCACTACTTTCACGCTCACACCATAATCGTCCTCACAGCTTTTCCATTAAAAGCCTTGTTTGAGAGGGCGAACTTTTCTGGGCGAATCTTGAAGTGGGCAGTAGAGTTGGGACAGTTTGACATCAAGTTTCAACCCAAAACCGCGATAAAAGCCCAAGCTTTGGCAGACTTTGTCGCAGAATTTACACCAGAAAGTCATCACGTCTGCCCAGTTGACTTAACGGGTACATCCGAAATAGGGATGGAAAGTGGTGCCGGAATAGCGTAACCCCTGATACAGAATACCCAGCCACATCCCAGGACAGACCAGAGTGAACACAAAGAGGGAGAAACAAACCATGTTGCACCAAGCAAAGACC